AAAAATATTCTGACGAAGGATCCTGCTTTTCTAATATAAACTCTATATAGGGCAACTTAGTAATTGATGAAAGAAAAATTCTTGATAGAATTAGAAAATTACTATTTTCAACTTGGATGAAATCGAGAATTATTTTAGGCAAATGATAATTGGTGGCTGCTAAAATCATTGCTTCAACGGCTGATGGGGAGCTTTATAATAAAAGAATAAGGCTGATCACACCAAACTTACCATGGGACAAGGGGACATCATGGGCCTCCTGATTTATGGGAAAGGAAGTCGTGGCCCCACAGGCCTAATCAAACCTCTGTCAGGGCATCTCAACCTGGGGACTGTGGCTTCAGAGAATCTGTGAAGCCTTAGAAATTGTATGCAATATTTTTTGTGGGTGTGTGTGTATATATGTGTGCACATATGTGTTTGTTATTTTCTAGGAAGAGAATCTGTTTCTTTCATTAGATTCCGAAAATGCCCCTTGACAGTTTAGAGAAAATAAGAGGGCCAGAGAAACATGTTAAATGTTACCACAGGGATGCAGGTGGCCAAATCTAAAATGTGGTAAATTCTGCAGGCACAATGACCTGGTTTGTTCAACACGAGAATGGTGTGGGAAGAAGAAAGGAAGAGGGAAGGGGAGCTCAACACAAGGAGGCGGCAATCAGCTCAATGCAGAATGTGGGGAAGTCTATAAGCTAAACGATCCAATTTCTTCAGAGAGAAAATTTAGAGACATATCAACCAGAGGCAATGTATAGACCTTATTTTGATCCTGGTTAGAATAAAACAACCATTAAAAAATCACTTTTGAGATAGCTGGAGAAATGTGAAGAAAGACTTGGTATTTGACGACATTAAGGAATGTTTCTTATTTTCATTGGGTGTGATAATGGTATTATGGTCATCACATTTTAAAGTCCTTATCTGCTGCAAGGAAATAGTAAAGGATTTACAGTGAAATGATGTAATGTAAGGCTGAGGAAGGAAGGGGAAGGACAATTGAAACAAATTTGGAAAAACTGTGAAATAGTTAAGGCTGTGTGATGCACATGGGTGTTCATTATAGTTTCCTTTCCACTCCTGTATGTTTGAAATTTTTTGTAATAAATAGTTTTAAAATTATCAAAGTAATTACTTGACTAAATTACTGTAGTGCCAAAAATACAGAGCAAAATCATTGGAATATTTAAATAAATAAGCAAAGAATAACTTTTCACATATTTTTAAAATGTCCTCTTAATTTCAGCATTAAAATTAGGTTGCTTTCTAAGCAATAAACTTCAGTCTACCAGTTGTTGCTTTTTTATTACATAGATAAAAACTGTCACTATATCTGCTATCCTTGCTATCTGGAATTACAATGAAAAGAAAATAAAAATTTTTCAAAGGT